GTTATTGAAAATCCATGAAATTTAGAAAAGATCAATGCGATAAAACGGATTATATTTGGAAAAATAAGCTTTAATCAATTGTGTCGGTTTATGTAGCCATCTTTCTTTTTTTTTGACAATTTTGTGTATTCGCGTTTATTTTAGTTAGCAAGCTTGTGCCACAGACAGAATAATTCATTCTCACATGTGCCCTTGATTCTGTTGACATTTCTTCAATGATCAATGCAAATCTTTCAGAATGTGATCAATTCTCTATGGTACTTGTTTCACATGCTCATTGAATATGTTTATGATAAAAAATTCATTTGATGTAATTTTACTCAAATTAATTTGTGACTTTTGTATCGCAATGATAATTGATTCAAATTAGCTCATTAGTAAAATTACTATAATTTTTACGTCTGTAGATATATACAATTGATCCTAAATGCATTCATTAAAATTTTCTTGAATATATTACCATATTTTAGAAAAACTATATAAGTTCCTTACACTGTGGATGTGCTATATATATACTGATTCTTATTCAAGTATTTTGAATATTTTGCACAAAATAAGACGAACTAAAATTTTCTACATAGTCAGTTTTTTTCTATAACTATTGTATTATTAGAATAAATCTCTTGGATATGTATTACAATAATAACACTATTGAAGTGTATTATACATTACTTGGGTGGGTGGGTGTGACAAAACAAGACAGTGCATCGAAACCCACACCCACACCCTACAACTTATTGATATTTTCAATTATTTAACGTAGCTGCTTGAAGACACTTAAAATCTCATTTTTCCTTTGTTTTTTTCTTTCCTATACAACAACTTGAAGCAAGCTCCGAAAGTAAACCATCCAAGTTATAAGTGTATTTACATAGATACCAGTCACCAAGAACAATAATCGTGAAGTGAAAATGCTTCTATTTTCTTTTCTGCTTACTGTTGTCAGTGCGAGTAACGTGAAAAACTTTCGTTTTTCTCTCTTGCGTTGTCGTCTGTAGCTGATTCGTCCATGATCATGCACAAATTTTTGTATTTTACCAGAAAAAGTAAACAACTATAAACCAAGAAGCCATTACTAACTATATTCACCAAATGATTCACCCTAATGGAAGTGGTTTCATGTCATATATGTACTTCGAAATACATTAAGTGATTATTTTACCTCGCGTACTACTACTATGTTTTTTGTGAAACTCATATATATTTTCGAAGAAGACAGTGAATGTAAGTTTTATGTCGATGTTTTGGGGGCTCCTCCCCACCGCACCACAGACGCATAGTTATGCACGACACCATTACAAATACTTCGTAACGCATACTACCACTAGAGACATTTAGCAGCATAGGTTCCTCTTTCAGATAGTCCCCATTACAGACAACCGCCATTGCAGACAGCCTTCATTAAAGACAATTCCGATTACAGACACTTTAGTTACCAACATCCAATATTAGATATCTCAGCAATTTCGATCGTAAGAGAGATGATTTCTTATATTGTATGCAGAGTACGTGAGTTCCACATTTCAGCTGCAGACAAGCTGCACTAATAAGCTCTCTTTCACTTCTTCTAGTCTATATATATCAAAGACAAAGCTGCTGACATTCATAAATTTATAATGAATAATATCAACAAAGTTAGTTTGTTTTTTCTTCTTCTAGATTTATATCTTTTTGACTGTTCGATGTGCATTTGCAGTCATTAGTTGATATGGGTAATAAACATGGCGGTGGTAAATCATTTTCATCAACAGAATTAACTCCAGCATGTGAGTAACTTCAATTAATTGATTTCAAAATATATTATTTGATTAATTTTAGATATTGCTATACTCAAAGCAAATACTAAATTTAGTGAAAGTGGTAAATGTCTTTTGTTCTTTATGATTGTCTATTTTTATTTTTATTTTTATAAATAGAAATACGGCAATGGTACGCTGTCAGTAGAATCGACAACTACTTTTTCCTTTTCATTTATTTCTTCCTGTATTAGGAATTTCGTCGTGATTGTCCTGCTGGTAAACTTAACAGAAAAAAATTTGTCGCTATTTACAAACAATTCTATCCACACGGAAAACCAGACAACTTTTGCAAGTATATTTTTGTAAAATAGCATCATACAAATATAAAAAATATCTATTTATTATTCAGATATCCTTTTGATACATTTGATACTAATGGTGATGGTTTTATCGACTTTCAAGAATTTCTTTTAGCTATTAGATCTACAAGTCAAGGCAATCTTGATGACCATCTAGCTTTTTTTTTTGATATGTAAGCATATCAAATATTCTATTGTTTAATTAGTCATTTTTCTGTTATATAGGTATGACACTTCGGGTAATGGACAAATTGATGAAAAGGAACTGACAAAATTAATTACAGCCATGGTAGGATTTTAACTCAAATTCATACATGAGACAAATTATATTGATGTTTCCTATAGTATGATCTTCTTGGCGAAGTTGATCGAAAATATGACAAGAATCCAAAGAAACGTGCTGTAGACATTATCGCAAAAATTGATGCTGATGGTAACAAGAAAATAAGTAAACAAGAATTCATTGATGGGTATATTTCATCCTATATATATAACTATATACTTTTTACTTTTCTATATTATTTATTATTAGATGCAAGAACTACCCTGTTATTCGTTGGATACTTGCCCCTAATGCTTAAGGCCACAGCAACAATAATATACGGTGACATGTATTTCTTCTTTTTTGTACATTTATTATGTGTTCTTTTTAGCAACGAGGGTAGAAATCGAACGGGTTACTTCTGCTTTTCATGAAAGAAGAATTAATTTTTATAATAATCTAGCAGATTTTATTTTTATCTTTTGAGTCATTAAAATAAAAGCTCTTTTAAATTAGGAATTAAATGTGAATTATAGTGTATTGTATTGTATTGTATACCCAAGATACCAAAACGGTGTAGGGTGAGACAAAAAAGAAATGCGGGACGTAAGAATAAAAAAAAACAAAAAAGAAAAAGAAAAAAAGAAGAAGAGAAAAAGAAAAAAGAGAAAAAAGAAAAAGAAGAAAAGAAAAAAAGAAAAAAAGAAAGTAAAAAGGTGCTTCTATTCGGTGATAGTTTGTACGATCCATCACCAGTAAGCCAATTGTATTCCTCAGTGTTTAACCCTCCAGGGTCTGGTTTAAATTGGGTGTGGATGTGTGTTTGGAAGAAGAAAAGAGCGACACCCACACCCTATATACAACTGATATGAAATGATGATTGTCAAAATTTTAGCTTGCTATCATGTTTCTTAAACATATTTCGGTGTATTTTTTTTCCATGCTGATTTCGAATATGAGTTCAAATTTTGGAAAGAAAAAACAGAAAATACTCATATTGAGCAAAAATCTGTAAAAATCTGTTTTTCAGAGCATACTTCAAGTATATGAGCTTCAGCGAAACTTTCAGTTGAAATTTACATATACATGTAAATAAATACTTAGAACATGCAAAAAGTACTGCCGTTGATATACCAAAATCGTATGAATGATTGACAAAATTTTCCTTCTATATAGATTTGTAGTACGAACAAAACACAATATGTGTACACGATTTGATTATTTTTCATTTAAGGGTACCCCTCTCGTTTTTTTACACTTGCTGGTTCTCGGAGACGATACAACAGATCAAGCTGAAATTTT